TATCCTCAGAAATGGTATTGTTGCCACTTCCATCTGGTATAAAGTCAATAGTAATTCCTTTGTTTTTGTATCCATTTTTTTCCTTTCTTGTGGTCCTGGGGATGGAACCCAGAGCTGTGCAAAATCTAGGCAAGTGCTCCAACACTGACCTACACTCCTAGCTTAATTTGTCCCCCCCCCCCCCGCCTTTTTTTTTTTTTTTGTAGCTGTTACACTGCCTTCAAGATGCTAAGTCAATGACACTCTGTCCAAGTTCTTTTTACTAACAAGATGACTAGTAGCCTATTTTGCCCTCCAGACCAAAAGCACAATTACTAGGGCCTTTCCCTACTGGAGCCTGCTTTTAGCCTCACAGGATGTCTGGAGTCTAGACTCAAGAAATACCTGAATTTTCCTATCAAATTACCCATTTCAAGTAGGACTGCAACATGTCCAGAGGTCCTTTCTTTCGGATACTCTTGGAGTCCCAATAGTTATCCAGTAAGGGTTGAGTGAGTAGCCAGTACTCACTACTGAGTTAGGTACTAGAACAGGTGCACAAATACAGGACTTAGTCTATGTCTTCAAAGAACGTAGGTGGTCTTCATTGAGAACATCTAAGTGGGGTGTTGGTACAAGAAACATCATCAAGAGCCGGGCGCCAGTGGTTCATGCCTGTAATCATAGCTACGCAGGAGGCTGAGATCTGAGAATCGCGGTTCAAAGCCAGCCCGGGCAGGAAAGACCGTGAGACTCCTATCTCCAATAAACCACTAGAAAACCGGAGGTGGTGCTGTAGCTCAAGTGGTAGAGAGCTCGCCTTGAGCTGAAGAGCTGAGGGACAGCACCCAGGGCCCAGAGTTCAAGCCCCATGACCAACAAAAAAAAAAAAAAAAAAAAAGAAACATCATCAAGGACTGATGCTACAATTTTGAGTGTCCATGTTATGTTTGGCAAGTATCCATGGGTTTTTACAAAACTCTCCAAAAGTACTTTGACTCCATTCCTGCCCTACAAGGTTAACAATGACCAAGGAAGACTAGTAGGAGAACTGGCTATTTAATAGCTATTCCTCTTGATATTTTTATAGTTAATATTTTTATAGTTAATGATAGACTATCACACCAAATAAAGTCATCCAAACGTAGGTCAAATTTCCCTGATGTAGGCTGTAGACATACTTCCTTGCCATTGAAGAGGATCTCAGAAAAATGATAAACTATAGCACTCAAGGTGCATTGTGACACTCACAGGTGATTGAAGTCTATGCTGGGAGACAGTTGGGAATATTGCATTCTCAATATCAGTTTGGAGCTGAGAACTATAATAGGACATATCAATCTTTCCTCTATCCTTTTTGATAACATTCTTTGATTTTAGCATTGCTCAATTGAACTTGGAAAGCCCTGTAATGTCCTATAAGCCATTGATCAGTGCATTGGACAGGCAAGGATTCATAGTATCCCTCCCCAAATATGAAAACACAAACAAATAAATCTGGAGATGAAGGGTGTGGTGGTGGTCTTGTCCATTCTTGTGATTCCCGGCTTTCTCCAGCATATCTTGGTGTCTTAATGAGGACAGCACTAAGGGGGGTGGGCTTCTAGGCAGATGAGTTTCGTTGCTGTTTTTAGCTGTGTTCTGCTGCCATAAACGTTTTCTATTTGTAGGGCTTCCCTGGGGGTAAGCTGATGTGCTAGTCTCCTACTGTCTTCAGACGTCTGCTCAGTCTATGATACTATCCTGACTCTGCAGAGCCCTCTTGACTTCCAGCATGGGCATCTCAAGGGCAAAGTCTTAAGTGGTAATTTCCATGGCTGGTCATCTTGAAGTATGACCTTCAGGATCAGATTCTCAGTTCTCTAGATCAGTGTTGCCCAATAAAATACATTATGAGTCACATACATGATTTTTAATTTCGTACTAGCACATGTCAAAGGCAAAATGAAGGAAGAAAACTCAAGCAAGTAATCCAACATATCTGACATAATATCAGTTCAATATATGATCAATTGAGATAGTTTGCTATTGTTCTTTGTATCAATCATTTGAAATTCAATGTATATTTTCCATTAACTTCTCTTCTAAGATAGAAGTAGCCACATTTTAAGTGACTAAAGGGACAGGAGCTATACTATTGGAAATTCAGGACCAAAAATTTCCCAGGGAAAAATACAAAGAAAATGCAGCCCCCCCGCCCCCCCGCACTGCTAATGGAGAACAGTTGTGCAAATGGCTTAATTTCTCCCAATGTGCATTTACCCATTGTATGCCCTAGAGGATCTCTTCTTATCATGGCCAATTAGAAAAATTACCCTCTAGTGTTCTAGCAGCTTCCAAACTTGTGAAATGTTGAATAGTATTATCTGTACACACAAGCAAAGAAAATGGGGCTGTGAAATTAGCATGCTCAAAAAATACGACCATACTTCCAGCCACACACCTGACACACCTTCCATGAAAGTGTTCTAACACACTGATTTGCTTCTGTACAGGTATGAAAATGTCTGGATGGAGGAAGAAGCCCTTCTAGGCCCAGTGAAGAGAACACATGTATAAACAAGACACGCTTCCTTCTCTTAATGAACTCTGTGGATGTTAGAGGAAAGTGTTGGATAAAGCAGGGTAAGAGGCGAATGTGCACTGTGAGGTTAGAATTGCTTGTCACTAGCTCTCAAATGTGACTAGGAATTCTTTGGGGTTACAATTGCAATGCATTTACAAGCCAGAAACACATAAAATAACTACCCTTTATGACATATCAGTTCTATTACTACAAGTCGAAGGCCCTTTGCATATGGAACAAGTTGTTTTCATGGGAAGACAGAAGGAGATGATGAGAAAAGGTGCAGACTCTGCTCCCTGTGGCAAGACAGACAGGTAATTTCCGGATGCACAAGAGTGAATATAACAAACCCACAGGTTGCCAACTCCAGAGTTTTTTTCCATTGCTGAACTAGTTTAAATGCCTCTATGAGCAAGAAAATACAAGGGTAGGGAGGTAGCACAGGGTAGTTAAGGTCAAGGGTTCAGGCATCAAGCAGTCCAGCCACACCTGTGTGACTTGGGGGCCATGACTTAACTCCTTTGTGTCTGATTTCTCACATTAAACAAATGGTTAGTTAATAGGCTTTGATGATGTGATATATACACAAGGAGCTTTGGGCAATGCCTGGCATGTGACATACATCTAAGATGTGTCAGCAATTATTAGTTTGGGTGCTAATGATTATGTCAGCAAGAATTATTAGCTATAGTACTTTCCTTAATTGTTCCTAAAGTTTCACAAGACTCTTGTATCCAGCAATCCAGATAGAAACTAGGTAAATTCTAGTGAGTATCTCTTTCTCTACGATGGTAAAAGTGGGGCAAAGAGATGAAAATAACTTGTCTGGGGGCTCTGAGGCTGCTCCTCAAATGAGGAGAAAGGTCCATTAAGGAGGGTGACAGGTGTCCCCAAAGGGGGCTGGGACACATCCAGGCTGGAGCTTCCATTTAACTTCCGTGAGATCTCGAGGAGTTAGCAGTTAGCAGTTCTTGGAGCCCTCAGTTGGGCACCTGCCAAAGACATAATAAGGCATGATGCATGAAGAAGTGGGTGTGGGCTCAAAAAAAACAACAACCCCATTTTTAATTGTCGTGATGACTATTGTAATTAGCAATAACGTCCTTTGAGGCAGATCTTACGCGGCAGCAAGCCAGCGCCTCGCTCCCAGCTGCTGCCACGCGCCCGGCACCCAGCGCGCACGCAGGAGACGCTGGTGGAACGAACACGCGTCCTCGAGGCAGGGAGGGGACCGACTTTGCCTCTCCTTATTCCCCAAGCCAAAGCTTCGCACATCAGCCCCCGGGCGCCCCAGCTACGACTGAAGTGAGCTTGAAACCCCCACTTCTCCGTGCTGGGGACGTCCGGAAGCACGCAGCGCCGCGGGGGTTGGCCTCGCTCCCAGCCCCTCATTTTTCTGGTTTGCGGTTTATTTATTTAAGCGTTTACAGCTTCCGGGAGCCGAGGGGCTGCGAGGAGCAGGGTTGGGACCCAGGTCCAGGGTCTGATGGCGGCAGCCCGGACAGGGCGCAGCAGGGTCCCCTCCTGGTGGAGAAGATCGGGTTTCCCTCACCTCCTGCCGAACGCCCAAACAAGTGTGGGGTTCGGATGGAGAAGTTGCCTCCGGCCACTGGCCGGCGTGGGGACCAGCAGGGCGGAGCAGATTAAATAAAGACTTCACCTCCCGCCTTTAATCCCGGACCGCAAAACACTGGTGGTGTCTGTGCCCCGGATTTCTGGAATTCTGGGCGTGTGTGTGTGTGTGTGTGTGTGAAGGACGACAGCGTGTAAAAACTCCCCAAAGCCGGGCGCCCGTGGTGGCCCACGTCCGTAATCCCAGCTACTCAGGAGGCTGAGAATGAGGACCCCGGTTCGAAGCCAGCCCGGGCAGGAAAGTCCAGCAGACTCCTACGTCCAATTAACCACTGGAAGTGGAGCTGTGGCTCAAGCGCTATCCTTGAGCACAGAAGCTCAGGGACCGCGCCCAGGCCCCGAGTTCAAGCCCCAGGACCCGCACTCAAACGAGCAACAACAACAAAACTTCCCAAAGCGGCAATCCCAACCCCTCTCTTCCCGGGTCCTTACTGACACCTGGATGCCAGCGAAGGAAAGACAAGGAAAAGTTTCCAAAGCGTTCGAGGCGCCTAGAAGAGGCGGCCACCGGCTCCAGGTCCCCAGTAGGGTGCGTTCCGCGACGCCCGACCACAGCCCCGCCGTCCCTAAGGACGCCCCGCCCCCTGTCTCCGCGCGCGTCTATTTAGAGCCCAGCCCGGGTTTCCCGAGGGCTTCTGGGATTTGTAGTCCTTCTGCGCCGCCTCAGGCATTGGCTGGATCTGGCATGCGGACTACATTTCCCAAGGAGCCATCCTGCATATATAAGCTGCCAGCCGCCGCTTCGAAGTGCAGTAACCATGTGGACGCTGTGCTGAGGCGCTCCCTCCAGCCTGCAGGGTGGGAGGGGAGGAGGAGGCGGAGGCGGAGGAGGAGGCGGCTGCAGGGGGAGGAGAGCGCGAGCGCACGCCGGCGGAGGTGTGGGTGTTCCGCTTCCATCCTAACGGAACGGGCTCGGACTTCGCGGACATGGGACTACCCAGCGGCTGCTGAACCCCGCTTCCCGCCGGGCTCCCCCAGAGCCGCGCGGCTCCCCAGGGCTCCAAGGTAGCGGCTGGGGCCGGGCGCGTCGGGCGCGGGGTCGGCACTGCCCGGCTTCGGGCGCAGAAGTTGGAGTGTGTGCGCGTTCTTTCTTGTTCGTGTGCGCAGCTCTCTGGGAGGCTTTTGCGTGCACTTGGGGCGCACGGGGGGGTTCTTCACCCTGGTAATCTGGGGGGGACGGGCTCGCGAATACATGGATAGCTGTGGTCTGGCTGTCCTGGAATGGCAGTCCCCCAGCTTGGACGCAGCTTCTGGAAATAGTTGTGTTTTTTTGGGGGGGGGGGGTGAGGAGAGGGGTGAGAGGAGCTGAGGGGGTGTCCGATGTGAGTCTGCTCCAGGAAGCCGTCTTTCTAAACGTGTAGCCCTCTGGCCGGCTGCATGGTTGGGAGGATAATGTCTGCGTGTGGTGGTGGGGACTCGGGAGGGTTAAAAAAAAACCCACGAAAACGGAAGAAAGCTGGGGAGGGGGGGTGCGGGCGGGAAGAAGTGGGGACGAAGGTGGGGGGGGCGGGCACGGAGGATGCGGGGGTCTGAGCCTTGTGGCCTGCTGGGGGGCGGGGGTGCGCCCGGGGAAAGGAACAAGTGCTTGGAGATCTCTTCGAAGTTGGTGCGTGCCAGGCTGGTTTCACTGGCCCTGGAAATAAGCCAGCCTTAATACCTGGAATCTTCTCCCAAGTGGTCCCAACCAACTTGCTAGCCAAACTTGGAATTTGGAGCCCCTTCCTTCCTCCCTCTCTTCCTTCCTTCCTTCCTTCCTTCCTTCCTTCCTTCCTTCCTTCCTTCCTTCCTTCCTCTTTCCTTCCTTCCCTCCCTCCCTCCTTTATTTTTTTCTGGTGAGAGACCCTTGGCATGATCTCATATTCATTTGTTTTGTACCTCTTTAGGTTGCTGACCACAGAAACACAGGCTTCGGATCTCTGACTGGGCAGTGCTTTGGCAGCAGAGGGCCTGACCCTGGTCAGGTGAGTGTGGAAACCTGTGTGTTGTCGTCAGAAAATGAGGTTTGGTCTTAAAGGCTACTTAAAGTCCTCATTTGAATAAGCAGCAATGGAGAGATAGAAAGAGTATTTAAAAAAAAAATGTCATTGCCTTTCGTGAGGGTTTTAAATAGCAGAGACAGCCCGGAAGAGTTTCTTTTGATGGTAGCTCAGAATTAAAGCAGCCTGACTGTTTATGGGGGGGGGTGTGTGGAGGTGGGGGTGAAGGTGGGGGTAAACTCCATTAAACGGAGTTGTAAAAGCGCTGTCCCTTTGGTAGCCTGAGGAGTGTGCTGATGATTTTAATTCTGAAGGATACAGTACTTTTCATTCGTCAAGATAAGGAAGCAAAAATGAAATGCCTCTCTCTTTCAAAAATAGTCACTTTTTTTTTCTTCCCATGAACCGTATGCTTCATCAAGGTCTTGGATTGCAAGAAATGAAAGTGCTTACTGGCAAAGAATGAGAACTTTAAAAAGGGAAGTGAGTTCTCCAAGCATAAGATAGTAGCATCTGGGCCTTGACTGAAGCCACCTGAACAAACAGCAAGCAATCTCATGTGTACCTATTGTTTTGTTGCCTGTCCTGGGATGTGGCCTGAGAGCAGTATTTATAAGCACAAGAGCTCCTTTTATTTTCCCCCCTCCAAAATGGTTAGACTGCACTCGTAGAAATATAGGTCTCAATGGGTGCATGTCCATCCCCAGTGTTGGAGATTTGGCCATCAAAAGTTTTTTTCTTCTGAAATGGTCAAGGAGCAGGGTAAACAACCCTGCATTGGGGTGGGGTAATAGTGGGCAGCTGTTCTTAGTAACTTCTTTAACATTCTAAATATTTAGCTGTTCCCTGGGCTACAATCTTTGGGCTTTTCTAATGAGAGAATAAAAGCCAGACACTTCATTATGGTAGTATAGTGTTTTTGTTTCCTGTTGATAAGATCCTCAGGAGTTCTGGTGGTGTGAGAAGCATTCAGATGTGTGAGATGTAGCTATTTCTTGGAGTTCTTTTATTGACTAATGGCTGTGTGGGCCCTCATAAAGCCAAAGATTAGCTCCTGCAAGCTACCTTCCTTCAGGATAAGGTGCAGACAAGGAGAAATGGGCCCACAGATTCTTCTCAACTAGGTTGGTTAAAAACAAAACAAAACAAAAAAACAAGACTGGCAGATTAAAACCTTGTGAGCCAGGTCTGACATAGAAGTTTATTTGGAAACCTGAGTGCTTGAAAGCAAGCTGTAATAACCCCAGGCAGTGAAGCTGTACTGCATCCCACAAATGTGCCTAAGGTGGGGGTGAAGGTGGAGAGGAAAGAGAGAAGGTCGGAAAAATGATAATTATACTACTGTTAATTTTATTTTTGTCCCACCAACGATAAAATGATATAAGAAGGAAATGATGTAGCTACAGACAGATAAAAGAATATGGATATTTGAGGAAGTGTTGGATGTGGCTGAGTCTCTTGGAAAACTGTACGTTGAAAGACTTGGAGGACAATAAAAAGAAACAAAGCCAGACGAAACCATGAGGAAAGTTAGCTATGCCTGGCATCAGGCTCATCTTGTACCTGAGGTATATCTTGATCATGAATGACATCAAGGCGTTTGAACAGGTCCAAAGGTCAGGCTGTTCTCTTCCAGAATGATTTGAGGGTTTAAAGTGCAGTTAGTCTGAGAAACGCTGGAGGCCTCTCACACATCCTCAAGCCTGCCTGGGTGGCCAGTAGTGCAGAACATTTTTCTTTTTTTATTTCTTTCAGTTGTGTTTATTGTACACATGAATGTTTGTTAAAAGCACAATATCCTCTTGGATTCATCCAAAATAAGAACAGAAAATCCTATCAAGATTTCCTTCTTACCAGGCAGGGAAAGTTCTTCGTATTCCACATTGACACCATGAAAGTCGTTGGGTGTTGACAGTGGCATCCATTAAAATGTAAAGTGCTTCCTTTGGGAGAGAATGGGCATCTTTTCTTGCAGATGCTCAAGAGTGATAGAATGGTTGCAGGTGAAGGGAAGAAATGGATTAATTCCGCCAGAAAGCCTTGTTGTCTTTCCTCAAATTATTTTCAGTGAGGAAACATCAAGGGGAGGAGACAGTGAGTGACAGACAGACTGGTGCAGATGGACAGACATTGACTCAGACTGACAAACTAGTTCTGACACTAATCCAGTGGGGTGAAACCAATTCACTTCCCAAGGGAGGGGGGAGAAGCTCACATGGGTCTTTAGCTAATAATGATCTCATGGAAATTCAGGTATTTTTTTCACAAGCAGCTATTAATGGAAAAAAAGGAAAGAAAGAAACAACAGACACCAAATATGAACAACAGGAAAAAAAAAAAAACCCACCCCAACCAAAATAAAAGTAGGTCTGGAGTTAGGTTTCTAGGTCAAGCTGTCCTCGGACCGCCTCATTAAGGAATCTTCCCAACACCACTGTTCCATCTTGCTTGCTATTGGTCTGATATTTAAAAATAAGATACATCGCACGTGTAGGATTTCTACTAACTAGAAGTCGGTGTGCTCATTTTTTAGTTCATTTTTGCAGGTTTTCGGCCCCCCTCCCCCATGGTTCTTGTAATGAATACAATGAAGCCCCGCCAATAGCATGATTGACATAGCTTTTATGATTCCGTCCCATTGTCATGATGTCACTGGCTTCTGGGATGGGTGCTAATGAGGATGAGCTGAGTAAACTCCTGAACCCATCACCTCTTCAAATCTGAGAGTCCCTAAACTAGACTCAGACTCGAATGCCTATTTGTCATCATTCAGATGTATTCTGAAAAATTTCCTGAGCACTTACTAAGTTCTAAGTGTGTACAAGGTACTTGAGATGCAGCAATGAACAGTCTGTACCCAAGAGGGTTAGGAGGGAGACAGACTCGGCAGGTAGTACGTGCTGTGGGCAAAAATGAAGGGTCAGAGGACCAGAACATAAGCATTGACCAGGGTGTAGGTGAGTTGGAACCCTTGTGTGTTTCTGATGGGGATGCTCAGTGGTGTAGCTGCTATGGAGAACAGTATGACGGTTCTTCAAAATATATTTAAAAACATTAAAAGAATCACTATAGGGTCTAGCACATACAACTACTTGTAGGTCTTTACCTAAGAAATTGAAAGCAGGGACTTTGAGCAAGTCTTTCTCTTTTTTTTTTTTTTTTTGTCAGTCGTGGGGCTTGAACTCTGGGCCTGGGCGCTGTCCCTCAGCTCTTCAGCTCAAAGCTTTTCAGCTCAAGCGCTCTACCACTTGAGCCACAGCCCCACTTCTGGTTTTCTGGTGGTTTACTGGAGATAAGAGTCTCACGGACTTTCCTGCCTGGGCTGGCTGGCTTTGAACCCCGATCCTCAGATCTCAGCCTCCTGAATAGCTAAGATTACAGGTGTGAGCCACCAGCGCCCAGCCAGTGAGCAGTTATTTCTATACCTACATTGAAAGCATTCTTTAATTCATAATAGCCAAAGGGTGAAAATAATCCAGTGTCTTTTGATGGATAAATAAAAAAATATGATCTGTACATACAATGGAATATTACTCACTCCTAAAAAGGCAGGAAATTCTAACACATATTTCAACATGGGTGACCCTTGAAGACATGCTCAAGTGAAATCAGCTGCTGGATAGGAAAGGCACATGCCGTATGGCTCTACTCATATGGAATACTTTGTTGTCAGAATAGTAAAGCAGAGTATTGATTGTTGGTTTCTGGGGTTAAGAGGATAGGGCACTTTGTTTAATAGGTACAGAGTTTAGTTTGGATATATGAATAAGTTCTGGAGATGGATAATGGTCACAGGTGCAGCACTGTAATAATGTGAATGTGCACCAGTGCTGAAAACAGGAAATTTCATGTTATAAAAGGATGTTAATAGAGTACTTAGGAAGGGATTCAAAAAGTAGAAAGGCTTTTCATTTTTATATTAATCCATATATGCAATTATATATACAAATATATACGTATGCTCACAATCATGAATATATATGGGTGAAAATGCACAGTATCTTGCTTTTTGAGTTTGGCTTGCTTCGCTCAACATGTGTTCTACAGTTCTGACCATTTTCCTGCAGATAACATGATTTCAGTTTTCTTTATGGCTGTGATATTCCTATAGTGTGCACCTATACTGTCTTCTGTTATTCATCTGTTATTGGGCACCTTGGCTGATCCCATCATTTGGTTATTGTGAGCAGTGCTACAATAAACAGGAATGTGTGCGGGTGTCTTTCTGGTTTGTTGATTTACTCTCCTTTGGATATATGCCTACTAGTGATATAGTGGGGTCATAAGGGAAGTCTGTTGTTAGTTTTGTAAACACCAGCAGTGTATGAGAGCATCTCTTTCTTGATGGCTACCATCTGGACTTCAGTGAGATGGCTCTTAGTGGGGTCTAGAAGAATTATTTCCTTCATCTTGAATATTTCTTTGTGTTAGCCATTTCAATTTTTTTCTGAGAATTATCTGTTTAGTTCACTTGTCTATTTGTTAAGCAGATTCCTTTATTATGGTTCATTTTTTTTGAGTTCTTTATATATTTTGGGCATTCATTCTTTATTAGTTGAATAGCTGGGAGGAATTTACGGCCATTGCCTGGGTTGTTTCTAGCTCTGGTGATTGTTTCTTTTGCTGTACAGGAACTCTTTAATTTGAAGTAGTCTCATTAGTCCCATTTGTCAATTCTTGCTCCCACCCTCTGGCGTTCTGTTCAGATTTACCTGTGTTGTATAACTTCCAGGCTTTTCTCTACATTTTCCTGTAATAGATTGAAACTTTCAGATTTTACTTTGAGCTTTTTGATCTAGGGTGAAGGATGGAGATTCAGTTTTAGTTTCCCGAAGGTGGATACTCAATTTAGGAATGGCTTTGGCGATGTTTGAGCAGAGATCTGAAGGAGGTTGAGTAAGCCATGTTGATAGCCATAAAGTCCAGAGCAGCAAGTGCAAAGGTCCTGAAGTAGGAGCAGGTGGGACATGCCCTGGCCAGCGTGG